GGTGAGCACATTATCAACCGCACCAAGCTTACACCTGATGTTGAGCTTGCTGAGACAGTAAGTGATTCTCATTTTAAATTTACACTTGTCAGCACATCACAAGATCATATCTAACCTCTAGTACATGTCTAACAGCCCTGATATCTCTGCACAGCAACATTTATATCTGTCTGTCTGTCGGTCTGTATATATACAGATATATATATACACACACACATTTATCAACCCAGTCTGACCTCATTTATGGTGCAACATACATGAAATGTTAAGCTCTGCTAAGAGTTTTAAGCTTTTCTTAAACCTTCTGCTGTATGCTGGTCCCTCAATCCCTCTTTTGTGACAATCGTGTCTTAGTCGAAGCTCACTCACGGTTTCATACTGAAGAGGTCCCGGATTTCCTCAGGGGTGATCGGCCCTCTGTTTTTGTTTTTATCGGCCGTAAACTTCTCTTTAGTCCAGGTCATGTGAACCTTCTCTGAGGGTGTGCCTGCCTCGTCGGCGGGGGACTGGGAGGGTATTGAAAGAGTAGAAGCGTTTTTGTCATGAATCAGCTGAACCTAAATGGAGGAGAGATAGAGAGAGAGAGATAAAGTAACTTGTAAGGAATGGAATCTTAAACAAAAGTTTCCCGCAAGGGATTTCATTCAATTAAACTTTGTATCTATACCTTAGACAAGTAAAAAATGACCACCTTTGGAGTGTGTTGGCAGTGGTCGGTAGATGAATGCACTTTGCCATAGACTAGCAGCCCTGACTTCCTATCACACCCTCTTCTAACATTCATGTTGAATCATAGACTTTTACAGCACAGAAGGAGGCCATTTGGCCCATCGTGTCTGTGCCGGCTCTTTGAAAAGAGCAATCCAAATCAATCCCAGTCCCCCGCGCTCTCCCCACAGCCCTGCAAACTTATCCTCCCCAAATAATTATCTACTCTCTTAAAAGTTGTTATCAAATCGGCTTCCATCATCCTTTCAGGCAACGCATTCCAGATCCGACATCTCGCTGTGGGAAAACATTTCTCACCTCCCCTCTACTTCTTTTAACAACTTTTTTTTAAATCGGTGTCCTCTGGTTACAGACCCACCTGTCAGTGGAAATAGTTTCTCCTTGCTCACCCTATCAAATCCCTTCATAATTTTGAAAACTTCTATTAAGGATCCTTTTAACTTTCTCTGCTTCAAGGATAATAATCCCAGCTTCTCTCGCCTCTCCTGATAACTGAAGTCCCTCATTTCTGGAACCATCCTGGTAAATCTCCTTTGCACCCTCTCTAATACCTTGACATCCTTCCTAAAGTGTGGTGCCCAGAACTGAACACAGTCTCTCGCTGAGGCCTAACCAGTGTTTTATAAAGGTTCATCATAACTGCCTGACTTTTGCATTCTATGCCCCTATTTATAAAGCCTAGTAACCCGTACGTTTTTTTAACAGCTTTATCTACCTGTCCTGCCACCTTCAAAGATTTATTTATATGAACCCCCAGGTCTCTAGGTTCCTTCACCCCCTTTAAGAATCTATCAACTAACTTATATCGCCTCTCCTCATTCTTCCTCCCAAAATGTATCACTTCACATTTCTCCATATTAAACTTCATTTTCCACGTGTCATTTTCCATGTGCAACCTTTCACAGATTTTCAAAACTTGCTCTCTAGAGTAACCCTGAATCTCTAGAGTCTCCGGTCTCAGCCCAATTGTTATTAAAGCGCTGGTCACCTGGGCTCCTTCTCTGAGGCATATATGCCCAAGGTGATAGCTACCTAGAGTTATGTGCCAAAGGCAATTAATCAAACTCAAACCCATGTGCACCTCTTTCTTTCTATGGTCAACTACTTGTTTCTCTTCTGTTTGCATGTATCAATAACTAGTTACTTCATAGGTGCTCTTCTAAGCATTGTTGCTGATAGCCTGACAGGCCAATTGAACATGTGACAAAAAAATACAACCAGGTACCAAGAAACAAATTGGACACAGTGATAGGCCAGGACCTGAATATACCAAGAGAAAGTGAGAGAGAGAGAGAGAGAAAAAGAAAGAAAGAAAGAAAGAAAGAAAGAAAGAAAGAAATACAGAGAAAAAGAGTCAGATTAAGCTCCACCCAGCCCACATAATACCTCTGAGAACAAGATATAAGTATGTAGAGAGGCAAAGTGAGAGAGAGAGAGAGAGAGAGAGAGAGAGATGGCCAATGCAGCATTTAAACCTCATTATATTTGATACCTGATTGAAAAATTGAGGTAAACACACAGTGCTTTTCCTATAAGTTGCACGGTATTTTGCATTGTGATCCAGAGAATCATAGAATCATAGAATTATACAGCACAGAAGGAGGCCATTCGGCCCATCGTGTCTTTGTGGGCTCTTTGAAAACAACTATTCAATTCAATCCCACTCCCCCGCTCTCCCCATAGCGCTGCAAACTTGTCCTCCCCAAATATCTATCTACTTCTCTCTTTAAAGCTGTTATCAAATCAGCTTCCACCACCCTTTCAGGCAATGCATTCCGAATCTGAACAACTCGCTGTGTAAAACAATTTCTCCTCACCTCCCCTCTGTTTCTTTTAACAACTCGTGGAGTCCTGTAGCTCAGTGGTTAGAGGTCTCGCTTTGCAAGCGAGAGACCTGAGTTCAATTCCAGGCGAAACCTTGGGCAAGTTTCCTTACTCCACACAGAGCCTAATAATAATCCCTCCAAAACCAAAAATAATAATAAATTGGTCATTTTCATTCTACGACTGTTTGTGGGACATTGCTGTGCGCAATTGGCTGCCGCGTTCGCCCACAAATATACAGTCAATTCACTTTACAGTGTGTTCTGTGAAGCGCTTTGGGACGTCCTCCCGACGTGAAAAGCGCTATATCAAATGCAAGGATTATTATTATTATTATTATTATTATTATAACTATTTTAAATCGGTGTCCTCGGGTTACCGACCCACCCGCCAGTGGAAATAATTTCTCTTTGTTCACCCTATCAAATCCCCTCATGATTTTGAAAACTTCTATTAAGTCTCCTCTTAACCTTCTCTGCTCCAAGGAGAATAATCCCGGCTTCTCTCACCTCTCCTGACAAGTGAAGTCCCTCATTCTTGGTACCATCCTGGTAAATCTCCTTTGCACCCTCTCCAATACCTTGACATCCTTCCTAAAGTGTGGTGCCCAGAACTGAATCGAGTCTCCAGCTGAGGCCTAACCAGTGTTTTATAAAAAATCCTAACTCCCTGACTTTTGTATTCTATGCCCCTATTTATGAAGCCATATAAATAGGAAAAATAAGTTTATATGTGAAAATAACTTTGTCATTTTATTAGTATATAAGAAGATAGATAGAAGATTTAAATTAGATTTTTTTTGTGGATTTTTTTGACAACTAACTTTTCACATATAAAGTTTTAAAGTTGTCAAAAAAATCCACAAAAAAACATTTAGCTTAAATCTTCTTCTATCTATTTTCTTATATACTAATAAAACAACAATGCGTGTCCACGCTTCAAGAAGGATCTCAATACCCGATTGATGTAGAGACATGATTTATACCTAATTGGAACGGTCTTGTATCTGAGAGTGACATGGGCATATTTGTTTTCTCCTATCGTTCATAAGTTATTTTCAGTTTCGCGTTTTCTCTGCAGTTACACCTGGTGGCTGCCGAGTCAAACTGGCGCTGTGGCATCGTGCGTCACAGAGCACGTACATATGTACGCACGCACTGCAGTTACACCTGGTGGCTGTGCCGGCTGACCTTGCTGCTGTGGCATCTTGCATCACAGAGCACGCACATAGCCAAGTGCTGGGAACAAAATAAAAAACACAGACGAAGCTAAGTCGCGGCACCAACAACAAAATGACATGTTTAGAGCGCCGTGCCCTTCCACTGAGTCCTCCCAGATGATTATAGATTAAACATGAAATGTCTGTCTGGGTGTCAATCTACATTCTATATTGGATTCTCCGGTTGCAAGCGAAGCTGCAACAGGTACAGCTGCAGTCTGTCCTTCAATCACCCTGCTCAACCTCAGCCGTAACCCCCTCCACTCCCAAGTGCCCATTATTGCTTAATTACATAGTTTCCGCCAAAGGTTTCCTGGCACCGAGTCAAAGTGGCAGAAGTACAACCTTTCTTTGAGCAAAAGGAATCCCTGGGAGTACTTATTTGTTCACAGTTGAATCGGGAGAAAGATAACAGGATGCCAATCCATCTCATCAGCTTTTCTTGTTCATAATTATTATAATAATAACCCTTGCATTTGATATAGCGTCTTATCACATCGTTAAGACGTCTCAAAGTGTTTCACAGGATTTGCTGAAAAGTGTATTGACCGTGTATTTTGTGGACAAACACGGCAGCCAATTTGAATAGAGCAATAATAATAATAATACTCCTTGCATTTGATACAAAGCCCTTCACAGAATACACTGTAAACAGAATTGACTGTATATTTTGTGGGCGAAATGCGGCAGCCAATTGCGCACAGCAGTGTCCCACAAACAATGCATAAAGTGGCCAATTTATTATTATTATTATTTTTTTGAAGGAATTATTACCCCCGGAAAAGCGATCACCAATCGACTAACAAACAGGTTCCTGCTTACTACAAGGTAAACAGAGGCATGTGGAATAAGGAAACTTGTCCAACATTTCGCCCTGTTGGGAATCAAAACCAGGTTTCTCGTTTGCTAGGTGAGTGCTCTAACCCCTGAGCTACAAGACTCACAACCACATATCCCACAAACAGCCATGAAGTGAGTGGCCAATTTGATTTGGGGAATTGCTGTCCAGGACACCGAGGGAAACTCTCTTCTCTTTTTGAATAGTGGAAACTTTAACGTCGACCTGAACAGGCAGAAGGGGCCTTGGTTAACACCTCATCCAAAGGACAGCGCCTCTAACAATCGATCACTGCACTAGAGGAGAACAACGTCTTGGGGGAAAAGCCATGCTCCTTCGGGATAACTGCACCACCCTCCTCTGCTTATCCGAGGGATGTGATTCATCTGTTAATTACATAGCTGAAAGCGATCCAGTAAAAAATCCACAGCTCGTACATAGCCTGTGCACACCTGCTGTGAGCGCTCCCTCACAGCGCACACATCTGGCGGGATCCATGGGGAGCAGGAGAGGCCGTCTCTCAAGCAGGGCAGGCTGAATATATAGCAGGCAGGGGGAGTCTGACCACTGGGGTTTTATCAGCTGGAATTTCTGTCATTCGGAAGCAAATCTGCTCATGTCACAGCACGTCACCAGGGCTGGAAAGTGCCAGCCGTTATATTTCACTTCAGCGATTTGATGATTTATGCTCCAGCAGCATAAACAAAACCAAAACCAAGTAAAAATAAAATGACAGCAGTTTGATGTGTAGAAGTAATCTAACTTGTAGCACTAGATAGGGATTTTGTCAAAGGCTTCATTCTCCCATTTTCTCACCTGCTCTGCGATTCACTTTATATACATTCGAACATAAAGTGATCTAAAAACGCCATCAATGCAGCATTTCACTAAAGTATTAGGCCCAGGTTGGCAAGAACCATAGTTTGGGGACCCCAGGGCTAAAGCTGCATAGTTTGCCATTGATATCGCTGTCAGGAAAGCTTTCCCTCTGCCTGTCCAGCATAGTGATGAGTTTCTGTGTGTGTATACATGTGTGTGTGTGTGTGTGTCTGTCAAACAATCAGATGATCATAAACAGTCTACTCCACCCTGCATTATCATTCTTTTTGGTAATCAAACTTGTCTAGTCTCCACAAAAGCACAGATGCAGGACTTTGGTCTTTGATCTGCTTGTTCAAAACAGAATGCCAGGGTTCTCTAGCAGGGAAAACTGACTATCTGTAGCACTTGCAAGTCTAAAATCGGTTAATTCAGAATAGATTGGTATTTTTGGGGGTTCAATAATAATAAACCTTTTATTTGTTATAGCGCTTTATCACATCTTTGTGATATCTCAAAGAGCTTCATACAATATACTGTAAAGTGAATTGATTGTGTATTTTGGTGGGTGAAACGTGGCAGGCAATTATTATTATTCATTTTGTTTGTTTTTTAAGGGATTATTACCCCTGGAAAAGTGATCCGCTAATCGACTAACAACCTTATTACTTCCAGGTGAACAAAGGCTTGTGGAGTAAGGAAACTTGCCTAATGTTTCGCCCTGCCTGGAATCAAACCCAGGTCCTCTCGCTTGCCAGGCGAGTGCTCTCACCAATATGCTACAGGATTCTACACTTTACAGAAAATTTCATGGCTCTTTGCTGGTCCTTGCTGTATGCATATAGGCTACTGAGTTCACCCAAAAAGCACACAGCACTGCACTTCATGTGAAAGGTGCTATATGAAACTCTGCAATGCTTTGAGATGCCCTCCCAGAACAAAAGGCACAATAGGAAAATGTAAGCATTATTACTGTCATTTCTATCGATCTGCTATATCTCATGTCCCAATGGATTCAGCTATGTCTTAATAATAGTATTTTTTGCATTATGTCATTGAGACATTGCAAAGCCCTTCACAGAATATATTGTAAAGTGGATTGACTGCGTATTTTGTGGGTGAAACGCGGAATCCAATTACGCACAGCTGTGTCCCACAAACAGTCGTGAACTGCGTGACCAATTTTAAACAAAAGAATCTTGAAACATCTCAAGAACAATATCAACAGGAAACTTGATTGATCTTTGTAATATGTTATATTATTTTTAATAATTTAAGAATTCCCCCCTCCCTTCATTAATCAGACTTGCAAAATATTATAGAAAGATTAAAAAAAATAATGTTCAAAGTGCTTAACGGTAATTACTATGAAGCGTAGGGAATGATTTTTGTTTGTGGGCAATGAAAATAACACGTTAATCAGCCGTTAGATGTGTTGTTTACTTAGGAATCATGTAGCAGAAAATGAGCTATTGCAGCGAATGCCAGATTGAACAGCAGGATACACACATGCTACTGAAGGCCTGGGAGAGATGTGGTATTGACAGTATCTGGGCAAATGTCATCCTCCTACCTGGGGTTTCTATCAGCTAAAAGACAGGTTCACTGAAAGATGTCAGACCCCAGCTAATCTCATTAGGTACCAGCAGAAATCTTTCAGGACTATGAACGTTCCTTCCTTCCTTCTGAATGGCTAAAATAGCTTATTTTACGTTTTGTTGTTCACCTATGTGTTACTCTGAATTAACATCACTGTCCCGTGCTGCACTAACTGTTCTGGTGAAATCAGTAAGGAGCTTACCTCCCTGTAGTGTTTGTCTATTCTACCAGACTCTGAGAATGAATGTTGCAGGCAGCAGCCTAACTCAGAGGTCATATGTCTTGGTCTGCACTTTGCACATGTGAAAATACATCACGGGTGGGAGTGGAACATATAGAACACACTTGAAAAGGGAAGAGAGTTTCTCTTGGTATCCTGGACTTAAATTAATCATTCATCTCCTGGATATCACTGTGTTCATTACAAATATGTTTTCTTTTAGTCAGCCGGGTGTTATGGATTATTATTATGATGTTTTTTTGGGGGCCATCTACGCGTGTGACACACGCGGAAATCTGTCACCGTACTTAAGAGTATCCAAACCAAAAAGTTCCATGCATCCCATTCATGCAAGGGAATTCCAGAGATGTTTATTGGAATGGAATGCGCACTCTCTCTCTGGAGGGACGCAACCTGCTTACCCAATTTTGGAAAAGCATTAGGTGTCGGTTGGCAAGAGCTAAAGCTTTGGGGACCCCAGGGTGTGTGTTGGGGTAACTGCTGGAGTCTAGACAGCTAAAACACAAAGCTTGCCATGAGAATGTTTACCATGAATCGCTTTGAGATGTTTTGACATGAAAAGACACTGGGAACGCAAAATGCATAGATGGCCATCTGAAGGACGTAGTCAGCACGACACATGAGGACAGATTTTAGGCAATAGTCTGATAAAGGATGCATCAGGGTCGTTAACTTAGTATGTAGAAAGTACCAAAGGCATATTCACGTAGGCAGGCCATGTCAAACAGAATGATATTACATGTAAACAGATGGACCGAAGCTGAAAATGGGCATTGTGCCCATGAACACTGCAGCTGTTGTTTTACAGGGCAAGGTTTAGTGGGGCCATACTCTTGATTTTGTATTGTATTTTGCCTAAAGCAATACGTGGGTATCTGCACAAAAAAAATCATTGCAGTGCGGCTTCCTAGCCGTTGAGACGCAATACAGATAAAAGTAGCCATTGAGCAGTTGTCAATGGGGTGCTGCTCTGTATATGCGTATGTTTAGTGCTCTTTAACAATGCGTGCTTTCCGCTGCCGCTCTCTGGAACTCAGTCCCAGAGTTGCTCCTCCTCGCTCACTTTCTCTCCACCTTTAAAGCCCATCTTAAGACTTTTCGACCATACTTTTGGTCACCTTTTTAGCAGGTCAAGCAGAAATTGTTGTTTTCCCAATCTAGGTATGCATTGTTAAAGAGTACTAAATGTATGCACAATCAGAACAGCACCCCCATTAAACACATATATTCCATGCCTTATGTTAGTTGTACCTTAACTTGCTTCTTCCTGGTCCCCTCATTGTTTTCAGCCTCCTCGTGTTCCTTGACTCCTTGGGTAAGGTTGGTGTAGTTGGCCAGTCCACTGAGAAGGGAAGATACCATAGGGATGGTGTCCATTTCTTCCTGTAAATAGGCAATGAGAGAAACAAACAATGCAGCAATTACATTGCACAATTGAGTTCATTCACATTGATCATTAAAGTAGTCAACCTTACAAGCATGGTGACTTAATCACCATGCTTACAATATTTAAGATGCAAACATAAAGTGGGGAAGTTTGCAGCATTTCAAAATGAATTTGATGCTGAACGCATTTGAAACCTTCACAGCTACGAAAGGATCGCTCCAAAATACATTCAACCTCTGATTAGCCTTTGCTCTAAATGGACTCGGACATTGATATTTATCCACAAACATACAGTCACTCCATTTCATAAAAATTCCTGGGAAGTGCTTTGAGACTTCTCAATGATGTGATAAGGAACTATATCAAATGCAAGGATTATTATTATTATATTATTATTATAGCATTGTCTGGTCTCTGAATCAACTTGAACAAATCTGAAGTGGGGTAATCTTGGAGATGTTAGGAGATGCTCTGATCTATAGTATCTCAAAGCACATCACATCATTAGCCACTTTGTTCCTTTACCTGTTTATTCCATATGAGTGTTGTGCCATATTGGCACCAATTGTTAGCAATGAGCTAAAAAAATAAAAATTTGGCCCTCTGGAAGTTTCACCATGGGCAAAAATGCCAGCTGCAAGGAAGCAAAAGATGATTTTGAAAACATTTTTTTAAATGGTTCTTGTGCATCTGTCTGATTTCCACAGTGGTTTGGGATCCTTAATGCCCTTGGAAATCAAGGGGCTTAATGGATCTACACTATTTAATTTGGGGCCAAAAATCTTGCAGTTATTGATCTCTCTTAGAGAAGGAGTCTGCACCATTCTGTAGATGTTATCACCAATTGTGGGAAAAGTACAGAACAAGTCTATCAAGGACAAGAGTTAAAGAGAATGACAGGTAAATTGGTGCAGAGCTATATAGACAGGGCGATTTTGCTGCAGACCACTGAACAATTGAACAATTGTAAAATAATAATCCTTGCAACTGATATATTTATTACACTTTCAAGACGTCTCAAAGTGCTTCACAGGATATATCGTAAAGTGAATTGACTGTGTATTTTGGGGGGCAAAACATGGCAGCCAACTGCGCACAGCAGTTCCAAAGACAGTCATGGATTGAGTGACCAAATTTGTTTTTCTTTTGAAGGGATCATTACCCCCGGAAAGCGATCCGCCAGTCGACTAACAGCTGGGTCCCTACTTACTCCTAGGTATACAGAGGCGTGTGGAGTAAGGAAACTTGCCTACCAGGGAATCAAACCCACGTCCTCTTGCTTGCAAGGCAAACACACAAACCACTATCCTACGGGACTTCACATTACACATTACAGGATATTGCATTACGGAGAGAAAAAGAAATAAGAAATAAAGCAGAAAATAAACGAATGAAGAATGTTTGCAATTCTTACAGTGAAATTCATGTGAAAACTCATTAAATCCCAGTGGCCAATTTTCCAAAACATTTACCCAGCACTAAAACTGATAAACTGCAGCGCGCTCTTGAAAAGGGTATTTTTTATTTATTTACCACACTCCAGGAAGGCCAGTATTGCATTGTATTGGTTCGCATGCTTTTCATTGCCGGCCAATTTTTTTAAATGCTTGCCTGCAAAACACACAGTGCCAACGCTTTGCGACAGTAAATCCTGTGAAATGCTTTGAGATACCCCCAGACTTGAAATACGGCGCACCAAATTACGAGGATTATTTATTATTTATGAAATAAATCCATCAAGGTATTTTGTGATCACAGCTGATCAAACCAAACAAGCAAAAACATTTGCAGACAATTTGGGCAATGATGGCATTTTGGAAGAAACATAAAGGATGCATCATTTTTTATTGACTGTAGTGAGCTCGACATTTTAAGTTTGTCAGAGGATTTGTGAAAAATAACAGGAAATGAATCAACTTCTTGCATTTATATAGTGCCCCTCACAAAGGGTAGCGTCCAGAGCGCTTAACAGTGGTGGAGCTCGACACCAAACCAGAGGGAAGGAGGTAACCGTAAGCATGGTCGAAGGATTGAGTGTTTCATAGTTTGGGGACGTAGCGGCTAAAAGCACAGCACGAGAAACAAGCAAGAGGTTGGAGCCAGCTGAGCAGAGACAAAAGCCGGTGGATTGGGGAGTAAGCAGATTGGAGAGGTAGGGAAGTGCCAGGGCATGAAGAGATTTGGAGCCTGGCGAGAATTGGTGTGATGGGATGAAATCAAAGCTTCTAAAATATCAAACAGCAAAAATAGCAAATGGGTTTGAAGTCTGATTTTAATGCTAATGCACATTTCTTTTTATTTGTTAAACCGGTTTGTTGGTCAGGACAGCGGGATGAATTCCTTTCCTTTTCGAACAGTCCTTCCTTCAGCGTCCAATTATATTACTAGTTAAAACAAACTTGCGGACTCGCTTCTTTCTGTGCGAGACAGCAATTTAAGTTTGTTGAGTCTCATAATTAATAGCTCTACTCAGGTAGTGTTGGATTGCTTCGAGCTCAGATACTTCAGTCGAAGAATACAACCCTGAGAAATTGTATGCATTGAACATGCAACAAACCACAACTAGAGACTTTTTCCTCTTTCACGTTTAAAAGAGTCACTCTGTATGTATCCGTGCCGCTGATTTTTGCAGATATTTATTGCCTGCTGACATTATGTAGAGATTATAGCCACTCGAATAGTAATTAACATGGATGGAAGAATTCTATTTGTATGGAGTTTCACTGAAGCAGGTAATAGCTGGTGAGATAGGAGGTTTAGGCTGCCAGAAAAGGTTTTTGATTGCACCGATGCCAACATTTTGTCAAGGGGTTTTGTACATTAGAAGTCAGATTGGGGGAAATCGGCCCGATCATAGAATCATAAAATATTACAGCGCAGAAGGAGGCCATTCAGCCTATTAACAAGACTAAAGAGGAAATCATACATGATTCAACAGACACAGAAATCAATCTGTGTTTCCTCCCCCTCCCCACCCTCCCAGCTCCCACAACCAGTTTGGGAGCCCACCCAGCACTCTGAATGCACTTTGGGACATCCTCCCAACGTGCAATAATAATAATACTCACATTTGATATAGTGCTTTATCACATCATTAAGGCATCTCAAAGCGCTTCACAGAATATATTGTAAAGTGAATTAACAGTATAATTTCTGGGTGAACCGTGGCAGCCAATTGCGCACAACAGTGTCCCACAAAGTCATGGATTGAGTGACCAAATTACTATTTTTTTTTGGAGGGATTATTTATTTAGTGCACGGCTCTACATAAATGCAAATTGTATAGTGCATGGATGTTGGCCTTTCTGTTACATAAAGACAAACCGTACCTCAAAAAGAGCCATGTTTTTCCCGTCATACTCCTTTCCTTTTTCAGGATCCGTGCTGTTAATGAAGGGACTACTCTCCTTAGGGTTTCCATCTCCTGAAACAACACAAACAAAACGGAAAAGAAATGTTAGAAACGGGCTGGAGGGAAGGGGGAAAAATATTAATGTACCTTTAATAAACACATGTTTGAGTCAACATGGTACACCCACTTCAAAGTGAATCAAAACAAATTCAAAGTCAAAAGTCACATTGTTTTTTTTGAGACAATTACAGATCGCCAATGGTTTACGGTTTTGGTTGGAATGAGAATCGCAAACCGGCTTTACTGCCAATGTCCATTTCCAACAATAATAGTTGGCAGCGAACCTTAATGGCTGAGATATGCTATGGTCATCTCATTTTACTGGGTGGGCAGAGGAAATTCGTTTTATAAATCAAATTAAATATTTTATTTTCAACCTTGGCAGGTTGCGCACACAAAAGTGGTGATGTATGTGATAGCAGCTTGGAAAGTATTGATTATGCATCTCGACAATAGATGGTATTAATAAACAAAAGAGATTCCCATTACATTTCCACTGAACTCCACTTTGCCAAGCTAGCAAGCCCCACTACTATTTTAAGCTTCATTATTAGCAGCACAGTCCATTCACCTCAATTCCTCTCTTGCCTCCTTCAAGGCCGGTCTCAAGACTCTCCTCCTCGATCGTGCCTTCGGTCGCCCTCCCACCTCTCTGCCTTCCCTCACCCCTACCCCACCCCTCCCCCATGCTCGGGTCCTGACCCCTGACTTGGGATGTCCTCCCGAGGTGAAAGGCGCTCTATAAATGTAATTTTGTTGTTGTTGATGGGTAGCGCATTGATGGGTATAATACTGGTTGTGAGACCAAGGCAGTTAATTGACGCGGCTGAGGTGTTAACAGGTTGGTTATTGGCTTAGGGCCTGATATTTTCTGAAGCAAAGTATTGAATATGAGAGTGAGCCTATTGTGACGTCTGTGCCTCTCATGGTAGGCTTGAAAGTTTAATAAATTCTTTACAGTATTGATTTATTGCATGTTACAGCAAAGAGTGCCTGAACCTGAAGGTGCCCTTGGATATTGTTAATGCAAATGCAGTGCATGAAATCACCTTTATTCTTTCACAAAATCCTTTAAGGGACATAAATGTCTCTTTGCATTCCTATTTCAGCTTTTATTTCAGCAATACCATTACCAGAGGCATCGATGCGGGTAGATTTCACACAGTGTCAAGTTCTGAACAACCTCAAAACATTTTAGTGCTTCCCTTTGTTGTGTTTGTGTCATGTATGCTCCACTTCAATATTCCTGACTGCCGATATTTTCTCTCCCTTTTTTTTTGGTTTTGCTGTGATAAAGCCACAGTCTATTTATTAGTTTCAAGGGAAGCTGGTGGTGGCTTGGCTCAGTTGCTCCACGTGAAGGATTATATTTCATCTGAAAGGCGGCACCAGCAACAACGTAATGCTTCCCCCAGCGCTGCGCTGGAGTATTACCTAGAGTAAAAGCTCAAGTCTCAACATAGAACTTGAACCACAGAAACAACTTGCATTTACATAGCTCCCTTCATATCGTATAATCTCTCGAAGCGCTTTGCAGGGGTATAGATCCAAAGGTTAGGAGAGTAAGAACTTCTAAGGCAGAGGCAGGTGTACTACGAACTGAGTCAAGCTACATGTATTTGAGTGGTGATCAGATTTGCTCCCATCACTGGTGAAAATAAGGTACTCACTCTGTCTAAAATTACAGTCTTATCTCTGCTCCAGAGTTAATTGTTCTTGCTAATCCAGCTATGGCATAACATTGATTAGAAGTACATTACCTTCCCCTGAAAATGTACCTTCTGCGAATTGGTTTCACACAATGTGCCCTAGTGTTGGAAAGTAATTTATAGAAACTGTATTCATTTCAAAACTCTGATTTTGTGATTGATAGAAGGCACTTAAAATACAAAGAAGTGACCTTATAATTTCTTTATCATCTCAGCATTATTTTTGACTTGGGTATAAGATGTAAGGTTTGCCTTAGCTTTCTCCCCTCCAACCCTAACATTCTTCTCTTTCCAGTTTCAACATTGATTATTGGCAGCAAATCCAACTGTGAAGTCAAGTTTGCATTGTCCTCACCCAACGTCTCCCAGTGAATACTTTCTGGCAGGAGTCATTTCTGCTGGATAGAACGCTGGTTGATTGTATTCCCCAGATAGTTCGAACTCAGAGTATATGCAATTCATTGCTAACACCCTATTCCCACTCAGTCTGAGATTATGTTACTCAACAAACCAGGGAGTGAATTATTATCACCTGAGATGAATTTTGCTGGTAAGTAACAGGCAGAAATCTTACTAAACCTTGATAAAACTAGCAACCAGTGAAATGCAACTAAGCTTTTGTTGAACGCACATGGTATTAACTAACTTTTGTGTCAGCGTGGTTTTCAGCACTCTTGGCTCTGATTAAAAAAGTCATGGGGTCAAGTCACACAAGCGGACTTTGAGCTCACAGTCGAGGCTGTGCATTGCAATGCTGGTGGAATGGCTGCATTGTTGGAGGTGCTGTCCTTTAGGTGAATCATTAAACAGCATTTAGAAGGTATATATTATCATGTCTACTGTGTAAAATATCTCACCTCTGCTCCAGATTTAAGCACTCGTGCTCAACCAGCCTGCACACTGTACACTGTATACCATTACGCACAGAAGGAGGCCATTTGGCCCATTGAGTCTGTACCGGCTCTGATGCATAACACTAATGCATTACCTCCCCTCCAAAATGGAGCACTTGGATTACCATCTTGATAGGCTGACTGTCTTGAAAACAGCTTGCTCCGAGAGATGGTGTAGAATAAATAGGCCAAATGGCCTCCTTCTGTGCTATACAATACTATGGCTCTATAATGCTGATCAAGTCAACTCCTTGTTGACTTCAATACTGCCCTAAATCAGAAACTTATACAACGGCTGCTAAAAAAAAACCTCAGGAACCAACCACAACATCTGTGAAGGCACAGTGGCCACTATATTGGAGCCATCTTTGTAGTCCATGTCTGTCTAAGTCACAGGTTCTTTTCGAGTCCCAGCTGCAGAAAACATACATCTAATTCAATATTTAGACCATGGTTCTGTGCAAGTGCTGGTTATTCATCTATGTTAGGAGAGTAAATCAACTGGAAAATTCACAGCAGGACAGAATGTTCATGGTCTGCTAGAAGCTATGATGTTGATGGACCAAAAATCCTTTTTTTTGTTCCACATTTCTTATTCCATCATCGGTGTGGCTCCGTGTGCTCTCGTGATGCTTTGGTTCATCCGAGATTAAAGTCCAGCAACAAGAAATATTTACAAATCATATTGGTTACCGAAAAGCAATTATAATGCAGCATTGATAGCTTGAGAGATCTCTTATTTGGCACATAAACCAGCAAAAGTATACAACTCATTTCACAGTTACTTACCTTCGACAGCACTTCCATTAAAAGCTGACACAGTGGTACAGGTAATTGATGGAGTTGGGCTTGGAATGCCAGGCAGGAGCTTTGATAGATACAGTATTTATAATTCATGGTTTAACAATGCATTTGGATAGAGTTAGCTGCAAAATTTCTGTTGGGATAAACGTGTTCAAATGCACCTCATATTCATTGCTTCAAAACATTGGGTCAGCTATTACCAGCTGGGCCATTTTTGTATATCATTGGTCAATTTTTCTTACCGCACCACCCAACATAGAAATGAATAGCATGGGACAACACTGTACATTTACGAAACACCTTTTATGTGGAGTCCTGTAGCTTAGTGGTTAGCACACTCATTCAGTCAATTCACTTTACAATATATTCTGTGAAGCGCTTTGAGACATCTCAAAGATGTGATAAGGCACTATATCAAATGCAAGGATTATTATATTATTATATTAATAAAAGAGAAGCTCCTCAATGTTGAGAGCAACAGATCCCGATCAAGAGGTAAGAATATTTTTTGAGGTGATCAAAGTATAGAAGAATTCCTATTAGAATTTAGAAGATTTTTCAAAACAGGGAGAGAGATAACAGATACTCAAAAGTAGTTTTCAAAATGAGTTTCAGGGAACAGAAATATAATGATTGGCCTCCAAAAATGGAGCAAAGGGAATGAGATGTGAGTAGACAACCATAGGCAGAAGAACAGAGAGTGTGGCATTGTATGTAGGTTTGGTCAAGTTAGACAGTGGAGGCATCACACAATAAGGCTTAGGAACTTGAATTTGATCTGCTTGAAGGGTAGAGAGATTAGCAAGGATGGATGTGAAGAGTGTGTGGGATGTTTTGAAGGACAGAATGGGATGAGCTGAAGTTTCAGGAAGGTTGGAACAAAGGAAGCTGACAAAGAGAGCTTTGGAGACTTCTATCATGAAAAATTATGAAGGGAAGGATATAGCAGTGAAATCTGGATGTCAATGGATAATGTTCCACAGAAGTAGAAGAAGATAGTATTGACGATGGATTAGATGCCGAGTTGAAACTCAGAGGCAGACTAATGCCATGGTACCTCCATCGTTTGTCGTAGGCTCCTGTGTGAGCAGGTCTACTTCCAATTACATATGTAATGATCGGTCAAGTCAGCATGAAAGAACATCTTAAATCAGCAGAACACTGAGCAAAGGGAATGAGATTTGAGTAGACATTGAAAGATATGTATAACCCAAAACCTATTTACCTATTCTCTGAGCTGAAGCAATGCATAAGGTGCCTGGAGAACTGAAAGCGGATAAAATATTAAAGCACTTTGTTGAAAAACAAGATAGCAAAAGAAGTCCTATTAATAAACAGGAAAAAGTTCACTGAAGTTTAAGATATGCAATCTGACAGAATGCAAGTACCTCAAGGAACAGATGAGGTCATCAAACCTGTTGTTTCCGTGTGACTGACTGGAAATCCGCTTTCAAAATGATGAATGAAAATGCAGATTCTACAGCACTGGAACAATCCATTTGCCCCAACTAGTCCTTGCCAGTGGTTATACTCTATATGAGCCTCTAGCACTCCTAATCCTCCCCCAGCCTCTCCCCAGCTACTGCTCCCTCCCTAGCACCCCCGC